TGGAATAACAGAGCAGCAGATTTCAAGTCTTCTCACACAGCCAAATCCTTCTCAGAGTAGCCAAATACTTGAACAGGCTGACGGTTTTTCTTTCAGAGCTGTTCAGAAGAGGCAGCTAAGATTAGAACCAAAACTGAGAGAATGAAAATAGTGCTGAGGAAGATAGGTTCTCTTGACACCCAGCTAAGAGCTTTCTTAACTCTTGTATCAGGATGGCCTGAGTTGAGCTATCTATAGTGCCTTACTGGGCCTGAAGTCCCCTGGGGGCAAGGACCTTGTGGAAATCCTTTTGGCATCCGCAGTGCCCAGCACATAGCTGGTGCTTCCTGAGTGCTTGTTAAAGCACATGAATTTAAACAGTGTACAGCTGGGCAGCTTTCCAGTTTTTTCCTACTGATTGTGCCTTACCAACTGGGTCTTACCCATTATGTGGCAAAGTCTTTACCTCTTAGGGAAAAATTGTAACATGTAGATTTCCTTGGGTGAAAGGAAAGTTTTTCTTCTTGTGGTTAAATACATCCGCCCCTTTTTATTTCATTCTTTCTACCTTTCTCTGCTAATGCTGTAAAGTTATCTTTGGTTACATCTGTCTTCATCTCTGTTCCACTCTCTGGTGAAAGAGGTGACCTTCCTCCTGCCCAGGAGTAGTTCACCCCTGAATCTGATCACATGGTCACTTTTCTTTCTATTTCTGGCCCTTACTCCCATAATGTATTGCCAGCTTCCCTTCCTTTAGAATCTCTTAGTCTTTGGGGGATTCCTCTGCCGTCTATGAATATGTCTGCATTTCTCTTAATGACCTGGATCCTCTTCAGCTACTGCCTTCTCTTTTCCCTTCACAGTCAAGTTTCTCGAAGAGTGATTTATCCTTAGAGTCTGGCACATTCTCACTTCTCATTCGATTTCCAACCTATGGTTATCAGTCAGCTTCTCTCTTCCTAAACTGCTCGGGCACAGAGCACACTCACATTTTCCTAAAACTAGGTCCATCGGGCATTATTGCATTCTTCATTGTATTCTACTCTCTGGGTTATTTGACAGCGTTGATAATTTCTTCTTGAAACTCAAAGACACTCTTCGAGTTCACCCATCTCTGAGCGTTCTTCCTATCTCTGTTCTGCTGGTTGGTTTTCCTCTACTTGCCTTTTATTTATTTTTTTATTTTTTGTGAGGAAGATCAGCCCTGAGCTAACATCCATGCCAATCCTCCTCTTTTTCCTGAGGAAGACCGGCCCTGAGCTAACATCTATTGCCAATCCTCCTCCTTTTTTTTCCCCCCAAAGCCCCAGTAATAGTTGTACATCATAGTTGCACATCCTTCTAGTTGCCGTATGTGGGATGCCGCCTCAGCATGGCTGGACAAGCAGTGCGTCGGTGCGTGCCCGGGATCCGAACCCGGGCCGCCAGTAGCGGAGTGCGCACACTTAACCGCTAAGTCATGGGACTGGCCCCTCTGCTTGCCTTTTATTTTTTTATTTTATTTTATTTTATTTATTTATTTTTTGTGGGAAAGATCGGCCCTGAGCTAACATCTGCCAATCCTCCCCTTTTTGCTGAGGAAGACTGGCCCTGGGCCAACACCCATGCCTATCCTTCCTCCACTTTTTATATGGGATGCCGCCACAGCATGGCCCACCAAGCAGTGCATCGGTGCGCGCCCGTGATCCGAACCGGCAAACCCTGGGCTGCCGCGGCAGAGCGTGCGCACCTAACCACTTGCGCCACCTGGCCGCCCCTCTGCTTGCCTTTTAGATCAGGTGTTCCCAAGGGTTCTCCCAGGCCATCTTCTCTTTGACTCAGACTGTCTAATCAGTCTTCTGCCCCACTCCAGCTTTACATACTTCAGTAGGCTGAGGATTCCCAAACCTTTGTCTTCAACCGAGACCATCCCCCTGTGTCTCTGTATACCTCAGCATGTCCCATAGGTACAAAACTCAACTGGTCGTCTTAACCTGCCCCCTCTTCACACACAGACGCATGCCTCTTCCAGAGAGTTTTATCCCAGTCAGTGATTCCACTGTCTATCTTCTTGTGTAAGTCAGAGACCCTGAGATTCGTCCAAGACTCTGTCTTCTCTCCCCCTTCCCCCACCTCTTCAGTACACTGACACATCCTGCTAATTCTGTCAGAGACCTATCTATCCCATTCTCTTACACCCATATTCTCACATCTTGCCTCTACTACTGCAGCAGCTTCCTGCTTCCACCCCACCCTTGCAGACTTGTTCTCCACTGGTCACTGCTCTAGTGCCCACTCCAGAATGCAAATAAGATCACAAAACCTGATTGCCTGAACCCCTAACTGTGTCCCATTACCTATAGGATAAAGTCCAGATTCCTTTCCATGGAATATAAGGTTTTTAGTGGCTGCCAGTTTACTTGCTGTACCCTTATCCTGGACCCAACCAAGCATTTTGTAGTTTCTTTAATGCCATGGTGCCTGCTGTTTGTTTTTTCTTGAAAAATTTTTTTACTCTTGGCTTTCTGGTAAATTCCCATTTACTCCCACATCAGGATATGTGTGGCACATCATTTGATGTGGTCTTCTGTGGTCACTACTCCACTCCTGAGGAGCTGATTATTTCCATCTTTGTAACCACCCCTACACTGTACAGACCTCTGTTGAAGCACTGAGCACCCTGAAATTTCGGTTTTGGGTTTTACATTTCTAGTTCCCCGCTGGACCATGAACTCCTTGAGAGTAGGTACTCTGCCTTACTCACCTAGCACTGGAAACACACCGCAAGGCATTGGCTTCAGTAAAGGTGCATGCATGGGGGAGATTTTGACAGAAGTTAGTGAATCACCCACAGCCTTGTCCCAAGGCTGCTCTACTTCTCCCCTACCCTCATCTTATTCAGTTAATTAACACACCCTGCTAAATCTGTCAGAGGTCTGTCTGTCCCTTTTGGGGATAAGCTCAGGAGGCTAAATGGTAATTGTGGTGAAATGTCTAGGTGTTCTTTTACTTGTGCCTTCCCAGAGAAATTATAGTTAAAGTGTTGTTATAATGCTAGTAGCAACAACTAATGTTTGTTTAGTGCTTCACAGCCTGGAGAATGTCCCGAGAGTAGAGAAAGGTTACACAGATCATAAGTAGTAAAGCAGGGCTTGGAACCCGGGTCTTCTGATTCCAGATCCTTTGCTCTGTGTATTTTACACACTGTCCAGACGCTTCTCTCAACAGGTGATTTAAAGAATTATGGAATTCCTCTTTCAGAGGGCTACTACTCCACTTTGTCTCCATTCTCTTGCCAACAGAGAACTCATTTATTTAACTGCTCTTTACTTCATTATTCCGTGTTAACTATTAGTTGCAAGTAAGGCAGATTAGGTCCCTGTCTCCTGGGAACTTAAGAGTCTTCCGGCAAGTAACAGTGAGTCAGACATGTTTGTGATTTGTAGGAAATGGAACGAATATGTGGTTAGTTAAGATTTAAATATTGCATGTGCTGCACTCATCACCATTTCCTGTTGAGCCGCCTCTCTGCTGGGCGCTGTATGACTCTCATCACTGTTTCATGGAGGTCACAGGCAAGTGGCAGAGACAGGTGTTAATCGGACACGCCCACAAAAGTGGATGAATTATGTCACAGGTGTACTGGGAGCAGTGTTGGGAAGCTAAAAAGTCCCTAGAGTAGTTAAGAGGCCTCCAGAAGCTGTGTGACCCGGGAAGTTACTTTCCCTTGCTGGGCCTCTTTCTTTTCCTCTGTAAAATGACCAAGGTTGAACCAGCTGGCATCTTAGTTCCTTCCAGCTTACCACATCTTTGAACTATGATTTAACAAAGGCACTTTCAATGAGTAAGGAGGCAGAGCAGAAAGTACCATTCTTTTGTGTTAACTGATTATTGAGTAATAACACTAAATGTTTCATTTATTATCTCTGTAAACAGAGAGTCAGGCTCAAAATATCCATATTGACTGAGTTGGTCTACTGAGAAAAGCACACTCTTACCTATCACAGCAGTGCTTGGTATTTTAGGGGATCCTCTTGCAATCTTTAGGTTATTCTGACATTGAGGGATTGGATCCTTTTTGTTCTGTAATCTTAAAAAATCATCAACGCCCTTGTCTTTGAATTTGAGATGTGAAATGGGAATAATAATCCCAAACTTCTTAATAAACCCCCAGAGGCACTGATTCAGCAGGGAAGCGAACATGTGTTGAGCATCTGCTATATGAAGACACTCCCAGGGTACAATACAGGCATGGAATAAGAAGCAGGCCCTGCCCTCAAGGAATTTATGGTTTAGTGGTAGAAAACAAAGGGTAAGCATATATCTGTGCGACAAACCATTAGGTGCTATGATAGAAGTTTATGTAGGATTGGAGGTACAAATGTAAGAGTAATTAGTTCTGCTGGCTGGTGGAAGAGGACATCAAGGGGGACAGCATGGTAAAGGGAAAAGAATGTTAGGTTTGGAGTCAGAAGACCTGGGTGTTCAGAATCTCCATTCTCTATATATATGCTGTGTGACCGGACTTCTTTGAGCCTGGGTTGCCTCATCTATGCAAAGGGAATAATAAAACCTCCTCCGCATGGTCAATGTGAGTGTGGAATTATACGTGTGTGTGTGTGTGTGTGTGTGTGTGTGTGTGTATGATAAAGTTCTATCTATCTGAGCTCTAGGGGCAAGGTCATGTTCCTGAATAAAGTGTGTGTTAGGCCACTTGTAATTGCTAAGGCAAAAGATTTTATCTCAAGTTAGATCTCAGATTACACCCAGACAGGGCTCAGCAATCTTTCAAAGGTAGCGCACCATCTTGGCAGTCCCTGCTGTCCTGGCGGATCAGGTGTCTATACTCACCTCTTATGTGCAATGGCAACTGTGTATTTAGAGGAGGTGGCAAGAAATTCGTGGCTCTTAAGCATGTCCCCACCTTGACTCTGGTGGCAGGTGTGGGTTGAGTATCCCTGCTCACCTGTGCCCTCAGGAATGGAAACGCAGTAGAGGTGTGTCTTAACTCTGATCTTTTCCCCCTTCCTCCCTTGCACCAGATTTTATCATGTGGGCAACCTGCTGCAACTGGTTCTGCCTGGATGGACAGCCTGAGGAGGCCCCACCGCCCCAGGGAGCCAGGACGCAGGCCTATTCTAACCCTGGGTACAGCTCCTTCCCTTCCCCAACAGGCTTGGAACCAAGCTGCAAGGCCTGTGGGGCCCACTTCGCAAACATGGCCAGGAAGGTGAGTGTTGACTGCTCTGCCTGCTTGGCAGCTACGGCCTCGGGCCCTCGGGAAGCCCCTGACCCTTCCATAATGCCTGCCGCCTTGCCTTTGCAATCCTGGTAACCCAGCCCCATTCCTTTCACAAAAGTATTAAAGAACAACTAGCCAAGTAAAATCAAAGCATCTCAGCGTAGATCTGGAGCCAGTTAAACCTGATTCAGGTATCAGCTTTGCCACTTAGCAGCTGTATGACTTAACCTTGCTTGAGATTCGTTTTCCCGCTCTATAATATGGGGATCTAATAGTTGTACCTGTCTCACAGGGTTGTGAGACTAAAATGAGATAAGCTACAGAGGGTGCCCAGCATGATCTTGGAATGTAGCAGGCACTCGATGTTATGTCCTTCATTAGCTGCCATCATAAAAAGCCTGACTGAGGATTAACTTGATCTTTTTATTGAAAGCAATGTCAGGGACGCCTCAGGTACATCAAGACCCTAACAAGACAAAGGCTGAGCTTATTTACTGTAGCGATTTCATTTGAAATGCATGGTAGCCGTGTTTTCCAGACTAGCAAGCAGGAAGTAAAATTATTGGCTGGGTAATGGTGCACGGGTGAGGGCCGTCCCTTCGTCAGTGCCCAGAGGCAGCATGTTCTCTATGGTCAAGCACAACTGGGGCTGAAGGTGAATCCTGACCTGGAGAAAGAAAGAACTACATTCTGCATTCTTCTGCAGAATGAGAGGTTTGCAGCCCAAAATTGTGATAATGGGAAATTTGAGAGGAAAAAATACTTTTTAAACCATCTGTTTATATGCCAGGAACTGTTTTAAGCAATTTAGGCTTCTTTGTTTCATTTAATCCTTACCGTAACTGTGACGTAGGTTTTAGGGTCCCTACACTTCCAGTTTACATATGAGAAACCAAGACTTAGAGTTTAAAAAAGGAAACTTTACATGTCAAGTTCCTGACAATGGCATAAGAGACATTAAAATACTTGTTCTTTTCCCTCTACTTAGGTAGCGCCCCAAGATCACATAGCTATTAAATGACAGAGCCAGGATTTAAACCCAGGTCTTTGACTCTCAAGCTGTCTCCCAGAAGACATTCAGCAAGTCAGTATTTCTGCAGCTTGGAGTGTTGATGCCTGTAAGATGAGGAAGGATGGGCCTGTACTTCGCTGTGGTGCAGTGAAGGTGGGTCCAGAGCAGAGCTTTGTAGTTTGCTTGGCTACCCCAGTCATTGTGAGAACTCAACCAGGGAGGCTGCTGCAGGCGGCCGGGGAGCTGTGACTCGGGAAGTTATGCCCGCCTTTTGTACTTAGACTGAAAGGTTGAGTCAATGGATTGAGACTGGAGTGCAGAGTCGAAGGAACTTGGCGCCACGTGGCCTCAGTGTTCTCAGTGATGGAGATGGTGAGTGGAATTGGGATCTGAGATGGGATGGAAGGAGGACTGTTGGGTACTGTCACCTGCCTGGCACTGAGTTTGGCATTTCAAATGCGTTATCTCATTGAACCTTACAACAGCCTATGAAGTATGCACTATTATTTGTTCCCATTTTACAGATGAAGAAATTGTTCCTGTTACTTTAGGTAGTAGTTTCAAGGACTCCTCAGGTACATCAGAGTCTGTTGGATAGCAGAGATCTTGCTGTTTTCATTATTACACGGTGAGGAATGCTAGGAACAACTGCTCATAGAAGTGGCAAAATAGTTGGCAAGAAAGGAATAGGGAAAACCCATTTAAATGAAGCAGCATGAATTTGCAAGAGGTTTGCTTGAACCTTTTTTTAAACATCACTTATCCTCTATGGAGTGCAAATGGAGAGAGAAAGAGCAGAGAGGTTACTGGAGGTGATCCAGGCTCAGGGGTCAGCATGTCAAGCATGTTGAAAAGCTGAGAGAACCAGGTGATCCAGTTGGTTCTTGACATTGCTCAGCCAGAAGAGAGAGTGTGAATGACTGAGGAAGCTGCCCCCAGAGAAGGGAGAAGGACGGTTAGGTGAGGGTGAGAAAATGCTTGATCTTTCTTTATAGTGGTTATCACTACCTGACATCAATATGTTTGTGGATTGCCTGTCTTCTCAGATGGTACATAGGAACAGAGATTTTGTCCATTTTGTTCACAACTTTATCCCCAGTGTCTAGAGTAGTGACTGACACACAGTAGGTAGGCAGTAAAGTTTTTTTTTACATAAACAAATGAATGAATCGACAATTGAGTTGAGAACAATTTGAAAAAGAGGAAGATGACCAGAGAGTTTCTATTGTCATTACCTTATGGCTGACAGTTCCATGCTGAAGATTTTTCACTGAGGGCCCAGTTCTGTACCAGCAGTGTGCTAGCAGCTGGAGGTTATAACTTTGTGGAGACAGAGCTGAGTAAGACATAGGCCTTTTCCTCAGGGAGCTTTCTGTCTGGTTAAGGAGGCCCACATTTATAAAGAACTAGTAGCAGTCAGCTGCATAAGTTAAGTACTAAGGAATCAGGCATTGTTGGTGAATTGCTAATTCTAGCTGGATAAAGGAAGGTTTATTGATCTGCAAAGCAGTGACTGAAGTAAAGGCACCAGATGTGGGGCAAGTGCAAGGTGTATTTAGGAACTGCGAGTGGCCTGTTTGGCCAGAATGCAGAATACTTGGGAAGTTAGGGTGGAACAAAGTTGGGATCAGGTGGTAAAGGGCCAAGACTACCATAGTAACAAGCTTGTAGCCACCAGACAACAAGGAACCATCAGAAAGATTCTGAGGGCCAGCCTCGTGGGGTAGCGATTAAGTGCGCAGGCTCCGCTGCTGACGGCCCAGGTTTGGATCCCGGGCGCACACTGACACACGGCTTGTCAAGCCATGCTGTGGCAGCATCCTATGTAAAGTAGAGGAAGATGGGCATGGATGTTAGCCCAGGGCCAATCTTCCTCAGGAAAAAAGCGGAGGATTGGCATCAGATGTTAGCTCAGGGCTGATCTTCCTCACCAAAAAAAAAAAAAAAAAAAGATTCTGAACAAAGGAATGACCTGGTGAGTCCTATTTCAGGCAGCAGATGTGGCTTCATTAGGAGGGTGGTTTGATGGAGTGCTAGGAGTAGAGCTTAGGAGGCTCTGTTACACCTGGTGAGAAGTCATCAGAGCCTGGTCTAGGGTGGTGGCTGAGACTGATGGATATAGCTACCATTTAGTGAGCAACTCTTCCTCTTAGTCAGACCCTGTGACGGAGTGGTTGTTAACCCATTTTACAGATGGAAAATATGAGACTCAGAGACACTAAGGTACTTAGCTACTAAGATACATGGGCATGCAGCAGATGAAGACAGATGAAATGTAGGAGGAGAAGGTCAAATTGAAGGTGACAGGATGTTGGTCTGGGTGCCTAGGAGCATGGCAATGATTAAAATAAGGAACTTTATTCACTGGAAAATAAATTATTGAATATCTACCGTGTATCAGGCATTGCCTGTGCTAGGAAGGCAGAGATGAAGAAAGTCATCCCTGCTTAAGAAGGAGCATGCAGTCTGATAGGAGGATGGGAGCAAATACATAGCCACACACAGAGACAGAAGAAAGCTTCTGTAGCAAGAAGAGCTTTTGTGAGAAGTAAAGTTCCAATTTGGATGGTAAAAGATGGTTATTGGTACAGTATTTTCTTGCCACAGAAGTATGAATTAATTTTGTGTAATTCACACTGAATTTTGTGAATATTAAGGATGTTTTCTCCTATGAGAATTTTTCATTTGTAATTTAATGCTTAAGTGGCTCAGCCTTCTTATCTTAAGAGTTTGGCATTTAACAGCTACGGGCTTTTAAAAAGTCTTTTCCAGAAGTGGTTGAATTGAAGTGATTACATGGATCCTACTGTCTTTTTTTCTTTTCTTCATTGGGGTCAGTATTTTCTGAATGCTCACTGGGTACAAAGCACAGATAACATTAAGGACTTTATAGAGAGAACATAAGTAAGATGTATCCCCTGCCTTCCTAGAGTTTCCAGTGTTGGAGAGAAACGGCAGGCTGTAATTTTGCCACAAGCCAAATACCCCATCTGTATTGGTAATACCTACATGTGGTTGAGCAGCAGCCCTGACAGTTTTGGAGGGAGTTTGGCACCCAGCCTCTTTAGTTGGACCAGTTCGAGGAGGAAGGATGAGGAAGAGGAGGTTGTCCTTCCTTAGAAACATGGAGGAGATATTCAAATCTCAAGTAGAAAGAGTGGGGGTGGTTCCTAGGGACTGGCAAAAGCTCGGAGATGAGGCACAGGGGAAAGGGAGTAAGAGGTGACTGTTAGCTTTTTGTGAGTGCCTATCTCATGCTAAGGTTTTATATGCATTATCTCATGAGACACTTCCAGTAGTTCTTAGAGGTAGGCTGACCATCTGACCTTACAGGAGAGGAGCATGATGCTCTGGGAGGTTGTCTGTTCTGCACAAGTTCCCTTAGTTAGCATGTGGCCAGGCAGGACTTAATCCTACTTTTGTCACTTCTCAGGCTGCCCTTTTTCCTCAGTGGACTGCAGGAAGGAATGCCTATAGGAAGGATGGTGAGAAGGAGGGTGAGAAAGTGGGCCTGGCCTGCACCAGGGAATATGGGTGGGGAGGGAGTAGGAATAAGAGAAGGGCGGATTAGCAAAGGGGAGCAACCCACGTGGCATCCTTGAAGGTCGGTGCCTGCCTGAAGTGCCACTGCCAGCGTTTTTTTGTTTTTTGCTGAGGCAGATTTGTCCTGAGCTAACATCTGTTGCCAAGCTTCCTCTTTTTGCTTGAGGAAGATTGTCCCTGAGCTAACATCTATGCCAGTCTTCCTCTATTTTGTATGTGGGCCGCTGCAACGGTATGACTGATGAGTGGTGTAGGTCTGCGCCTGGGATCTGAACCCGCAAACCCAGGCCGCCAAAGTGGAGTGTGCCGAACTTAACCACTAGGCCACGGGGCCCGCCCCTACTGCCAGCTGTTTGATGCTGGATGTTTGCATGCACTCTTGGCATTTTTGCAGGCACATTGGCTCCACTAATTCATCTCTCATGCTACCTTGTTACTCAGTTGGTTTGCACCATTTGCATAGAGTTTATACATACGTTTTTCCTTTGCTCATTCTGCCCACATTTGTTGACAGTGTTTTTTCCTTTTCCTTGTTCTCTCCTGCCTCTGCAAACTGGGATTTTGGCCTTGAATGCTATCTTACTCCTTTAGGGTATGTTTCACATGTAGGCTGACTTCAGAGTCCCTGGTGAGCAGGGGGTACACAGAAGCTGGGTTGCTGTCTTTGCATTCTGATCTTGCATCCAATAAGCCACACACATTTGAAGAAAGACTAGAGAGTTTAGATCTGGGTGATTGAGCGACTCAGGGCTTTTTAATTGTGTCAAGCTAGGTCTTGTCAAACTGCACTGACTTAAGTAATGTTCCGTGTCAAGACCTAGAGCTTTATGACACTGAAGCCTCTTCATTTCACTATCAGTCATCCTAAGCACATTTCATTTCCCAGTAGAAAAGCTTTAGATATGAATGAACCCCCATACCCCAAAACATCCATTTTCTACCTGAGTGGCTACTGGTCCCAGAACTGTTATGATGCTAGTGCAACCAGGAGTCCTTTTAAGTCAATCTCTGAACAATCTATTGTCTGGTTATAACTGTGTAGAGAATAAGGGAGCTTGTTATGTTTCCTTTCGCAATGCCTTCTAAGTATTAATAGTCAAAACTGGATGGTAAACATTATCCTCGTTTCCCTTTACAATTTTATTTATTTATTTTTTCCCCCAAAGCCCCAGTAGATAGTTGTATGTCATAGCTGCACATCCTTCTAGTTGCTGTATGTGGGACGCGGCCTCAGCGTG